TAAATGGGGAAAATAGACATTTCAGAATTGAGGATATCCAAATGGCCAGTAAGCACATGAAAAAATATTCGACATCATTACTAATTAAGGAAATGCAAATTAAAACCACAACAAGATGCCACTTCATCATCTCACTAAAACAACTAAGTTAAAAAGACTAGACAATACCAAGTCAGCAAATTCTCATTCTAGCTGGTAGGAGTATAAATTTGTACATCCACTTTGAAAAACTATTTGGTTGTATCTCCTAAAACTAAATATATACCCCCACCTTAAGACCCACTGCTAAGTATATACCCACGGAAAATGAGTACATATGCCTATCAAAAGACATTAACAAGAACATTGATATTAGCTTTATTCATAATAGTCACAAACTGGACACAGTCCAGATCCTGTCAGTAGGAAAATATGTGAACAAACTATAGTGTATTCACATGATGGAACATTATACTTTTTTTTTTTTAATGAACCAATACACAAACAACATTCAATTTCTTGATTCTTAATTTTTGTGTGGAGTGAAAAAAGCTACAAAAGGCTACATATTTTATATACACACAAGAGAACATGCTATTTGATTCCATTTATATGAAGTTTAAGAACAGTCGAAGCTAATCTATGGTGATAGAAGTCACAGCATCACAAGTGGTTACCTCTGGGATAGGGGTTGAGTTGCCCAAGGGAACCTCTCAGGGTATTAGAAACTTTCTAAATGTTTTATATCTTGAAATGAGTGGTGGTAAAGGGATCTGTACATATATAAAAATTCATTGATCTATACACTTAAGACTAGTTTACATTACACACTTTATATATATATTTATATTTGTGTTATACAGTTTAAAATTGGCTGGTGTAAATAAAGTGGACAGTTAGCCATTAACTTTTATGGGGTAACCTGAAAAAAAGCCAAAGACCTATAATGTAAAGATTTTGTAACTCTCAGAAAATATTAATTCATTAACATTTTGCTGATTTTTTTTTCCAGCCCCTGACCTTTTTGAGCCTGGGAAATGCTTACCTTGCTCTGAAGAATATCAGTGGGGCACTTGAGGCCTTTAGACAGGCTTTGAAATTAACTACCAAATGCCCAGAGTGTGAAAGCAGCCTGAAGTTGATTCGCTGTATGCAGTTTTATCCTTTTCTGTACAACATCACCTCTTCTGTTTGCAGTGGTAAGCAGCTGTTCAGTGCTGGCAAAGTAATGAGTTCAACCAGAATTCCTATTCTGATCAGCAGAACAGAAAGTGATTTTCCCGGTTATTCCCAAGGATTTTACATAACTAGTATAATTCTAGATGCATAGGAAATAAGTTATTTATTACTCACGATACGCATGTCTCAGGGTGTGTGGCTTAATTCTCTCCTAGAACCCTAGCTGGGAAAGGCTGACTAAAATAAAGTATATTCAGCTGAGATTAGTAGACTGTGAGATTTTATTTCTTTTCTCCAAATCTCTGATTTTTATAATGACTGATATTTATGTTTAGGGATATTTTTTCTGTCCATGAATTCAATCTGTGTAATAAGATTTGAAATAGTTTTTCTATCCTCCTTCACTGAAGTACAGCCCCTTGCCTTTCAGTGAAGGTGATCCAAACCTTTACTGCACCTCTAAAATAGTCACCTGACATCAGTGGTATGTCTTTGCATTCTTCCACTTTCTTCCCCAGCTACTGTGCATTTATACATATGCACGTGCATACGTGTATCCATCTGGGTCAAACTATTTGAGTTAATACCTAAACTGTTGTAAATTCATCAGTTAGAACTCTCTAAGAGTTTCGTGATGTTTGGTTATTTACTTATTTAACTTCACTACAAGGGAAAAAATGAGTTTGACCTGTATTATGAGAGGTACGGTTTCTGTTTGTGCGGATGCTTAGCACCTCGCCATTGCAGAGCACACAGTGGGCTCCACTGATGTTCCAATTTGACTATAATATTCAAGCAGGAGACTATCTGTTCAGCTCTTTCACTTCAGATATTTAAAAAAAGGAAGTGACACCCACTTGGTTAAGTGACTTGTCTGAAAGATAATCAATAATTATTGGTAGATTTGACACCCAAAACTGTTTTTCCTCATTCCCTGTACTAGACTGCCTTAAGATTTCAGTGCAATGATAGGCAGTAAGTAGCACTTACATTTTTTATATCAGAACCTGGTTTTCTAGTGAAGAAACCAAAAATCTCTCAGCACCATAACTCCAGAGCTTTGCTGTGGAGCAGGGTTGAGTACAATGTAAACTAGAGTTCTTGCATGAATGCTGAAGGTCAAAGACTGTGTTTTAGCAAGGCAGTATAGTGGAGTGGCTAGTGCTAGAGACATGCAGATTCATGTTTGAGCCCTCACTCTGCCATCACCATCCTTCAGTCCCAGTAAAGTCACGTGTCCTCATCTATAAAATGAAAGGCAATAAAAATCTATATCATACACTTTTTGGGAGGTTTCAATGAGATTTTTATAGGTGCTGGGTAAAAATAAGTAGAAATTCATAATGTGTATAAAGTATTCAGAACTTTAACAGTGCAAGTTATGGACTTTTTATCTCCTTACTTAAGCCTAGAAAATGTTTAGTAGGTTACCTAAGGGCAGCCTTATACACAGGGTTTCACTTTTTTCAGTGAGCTACTTATATGTTAATAGAATCTTTTATTTTCTTTGCCTACTATCATCTCCCACTCTCTTGGTTTGTTTCTGTTATTGGGAAGAAGGTTGGTAGTATATAGTGACCCTTTTCTAAAAAGCCTTTTCCTTAGCATTAGTTTTACATGCTTTTGCTTATTAGTATTTCAGTTTCTTGAAAAAAATTTTTAATTTTTTTATTGATTGATTTTAGAGAAAGGAAGGGAGACACAGAGAGACACAGAAAGAGGAACATCAATTTGTTGTTCCACTTATTTATGCATTCATTGGTTGCTTATTATATGGGGTTTGGCTGGAGATCAAACACCCAACCTTGGCATGTCGGGTTGACACTAACCAACTGAGCTACCCAGCCAGGGAAATTTATTCTTAGTTTATGTTACTTATGTCAACAAAGAAAATTCAAGTGTCTTAAAATTTTGTTCCCAGAGCTTAACTTCAACTAGTGCAAGAAACTGATAACTTGAAACAGACCTTTCTTAAATTTGTAGTATCTGATAGCCCAGATTATCCAAAGTATTCTTGGATCCAATACAATAGCATTAAAAGAAAATAATTAGGAAGAGGGAATACTTGTTTAGTTCTTTTAGAAAGAACTCATTGATAAATCATTTTAAAACTGAATAGCCCTTTTTATGTTGTAATTAACTAGTTTAGAAAAGAATCTAACATCTGTTAGCCCTTAAGTAAATATTGATGCCCCCTAATAGAAATGTATGCTATAGCATTTTCTAGGTTTAAAAACTAACTCATTGATGGTACTGAATTAATTTTAGTATTGAATTTTTGTTTGACAGTGTTTCTTGTACTTATTTCCACAGTAATCCTGTTCATTCACAATTGCTTTGCTGAGTTCCAGCTTTGAAAGCTGAAACCTGAAAGAAACAAACATCCATAGAAACCATGAACTTATATTGAAAACCTGAACAATTGCAACTGCTCCAGTTATCTCAGAGCTTTCCTAAACGGTTGATTAAAAATAGACAGAAACCTCTGAATAATGATTAGCATTTCTGGACCTTCAGCTGGTTCTGTGTGCTTTTGCTTTTCCATTTTTGCAGTATTGAAATGAGCTTCATAAGTTATCTTCCTTATCTGACTTATTAGTGTCTGAAGTTTTTATTATGACACTGCAAAGTTTTCAAGAGATTGATAAGGCTCATGATTCCTTTTCTATATAATAATCAAGGAAGTCATTGGTTTTAATTAGACAAGAATTTAAGCTGCCTTTATCCACCCTTTTCCAACCCAAATTTCTTGTGAAAGTCTATTTGAAAAATTACCAATTTAAAACTTTTTAGATAAGCTTTTCAAGATAAAAAAAAATTTAATACTCTTGGAAAACTCTTTTTAAAATAATTTTTCTGACCACTGTTGTTATTCTCCCACAAATAATTTTCTTTAAAGGTTCATATTAGTAACTATTTTTACAGCAACTATAGTATAATATAATGTTTTGGGTAGTATGAACTTAACAGTAAAATTGTAGTCAGTATGTTAACATCAGCAAGTATTTTATTGCTTTTCATATATAATCATGGAATTTTTCACACAGATTTTCAGTTTATGTTTTTTGGAATATCTACACAGGTAATGTATTGTTACCTTTGAATACTGATACATTCCGCTTAAAAATAATCACTATGCTCACAAAATTTTTCTACTTATAAAGACTTTATAGCTTAAAATGTGTCAGTACAGAATTATTTAGCTCATAGTTGTTCCATACTTTTATTAATCTAAAAATTGTTTTATTGACTGCCATTTGTTAAGTACATATGTTCTTATAGCAACTGCTTATCATCTCTCTCTCTCCCTTGAATACCATTTAATAAAACCTTCTCTTTTATAGGTAGTTTTATATTGCCACTATCATTTCAAGGATGCTGGGAAGGATAACTTAATAGATTGACATTTTTGTTGTTGTTAATCCTCATCCAAGGATATTTTTCCATTAATTTTTAGATAGAGTAGAAGAGAGGGAGGGGGAAAGAGAAAGAGAAACATCAATGTGAGAGAGACACATCGATTGGTTGCCTCCTGCACAGCCCTGGTTGGGTTGGGGATCAAACCTGCAATCCAGGTACTTGCCCTTGACTGGGAATCGAATCCTTGACCCTTTGGTCTGTGGGCCAGCACTCCAACCACTGAACCAAACCAGCCAGGGCTAGATTGATTTTGTTTTAATTGCCCATTCTCAAGTTGACTGCAAAAGAGAAGCTAGCACTTCTAGTTTTGATTAAATATTTTATTTCATCAATTTTGAAATATATGCTGTTTTCCACATTTATTGGTTTGTTATTTTACAACTTGATTTAACCTAAGCAAAACTGAATGGGTTGCTTTTTTTTTTAATATGGAACCCTTCATGAGTTTGCATGTTATCCTTGCACAAGGACCATGCTAATCTTCTCTGTATCGGTCACAATTGTATATATGTGCTGCCGAAGCAAGCACTGAATGGGTTGCTTTAACAAACTCATTCTTCAGTAACAACACACTTGGCCCTTTTTAAAATGAAATGGAATCTGTTAAATAAACTTATAATACTTTTAAATCAAAGTAAGCTCTCTGAAATGCTCAACACTTAAAAAAGGACTTTTTTTTAATCCTCACCCAAGGACATTTTTGCATTTATCTTCAGATAGAGTGGGAGGGAGAGAAGGGGGAAGAGAGAGAGAAACATCGATGTGAGAGAGACACATCGACTGGTTCCCACCCACATGACCTCAACTGGGGTCCAGGGACAAACTGCAACCAAGGTACGTGCCCTTAGTGGGAACTGAACCCGGGACTCTCTGGTCCTCAGGCCGATGCTCTAAACACTGAGTCAAACTGGCCAGGGCTAATCTGAAAATATAAAGTCACAGACAATGAAATTTCATAAGGCAATAATTAGTATCTTCTCTAATGACCAAATCAGGAAATAAATTTTAATAAAAATATAAGTAAAATGTAGAAATTGACTCTGTAACATTCATAATAGTGGATTTTGCCAAGCATTTATTTCTCTAAAATATTTTCTAAATACATTCATCCTTCAACTTCACTAGTTTGCAAATTAAAAACTTACATCTCACAAAGATATTTTCCACTACTTAGGCAGTCTACCTTATTCTGTTATGTCTTTGATATGTACAATTATACTTTATTTTTAGTATTCTTCACTCAGTATTTTTTTCTTATGTTAGAAAACATAAGATCAGTGGTAGGTTATATTTATTAGACTTCATTTTCATGAGATGTTTCCAGGTATGCCACTAACAATGGTACTGATATTTAACGAATATAATTAAGCATCAAATCCAGGATTTCTGAACTCTGGGCTTTTTTTAATTCACTGAGACACATGCTCACTTAGAAATTGTTGGCCCAGAACTTTAGAAGTTATGAATAAATGTTATATAGAAGTCAGACTTTAATATCTGGGCATGCTTATAATTTTATGTAAGTTTCTCTCTGTATGTATTTGAAAGCTTTCCCCACTGTAGGAAAAAAATGGAAGAATTTCCAAACCATGTACATGAGCTTTAATATCTGTTCCAGTGTGCAGAAGAATGATCCTGTGTTGTCTTCACAGTGTTTTTTATATTTATAGCATCTATTTACCTAAATCCAATCCCCTGTGTTCTTCAACCTAAATTTCTGTAGATTTTTGTAGCTTAAAGCAGTTTGCATGGAATTCAATTTTTTTTAATCCTCACCCGAGGACATTTTTCCATTTTTTGTTCAGATAGAGTGGGAAGGAGAGAGAGGAAGAGACAGAGAGAGAGAGAATCATCGACATGAAAGGGACACATCAAGTGGCTGCCTCCCGCATGACCAAACCAGGGCCGGGGACAAACTGCAACCGAGGTACGTGCCCTTAGCGGGAACCAAACCCAGTCTCTCTGGACCACAGGCCATCATCGCTCTAACCCGCTGAGCCAAACCCGCCAGGGCTGGAATTCAGATTTTGAAAGAAAAGAAATCTGCATTTTGCTGCCCTCCTGTGGACTATCCAGCATATGCTACCTGCAATTAAGGACTTTTACTTTGTTACATTCTTCATACGAATCAGTGAAGTTATCTGCTTTTAAAAAATAGTCTTAAAGACCCAGTTTTTATAGCATTTTTAATATGCTGCTAGGTAGCTTAACTCCATTTATTTTTGTAAGAAATAAATGTTAATTTATTACAGGTTTGAAAATCCTGAAATGCAGGTGCATCCTGCAACCAAGTATTAAGAATTGAATGAAGTTTATTCACTGCCAGAGTGTGTGGTTGACTCCAGTAGATGTGAATTTAAGCTCACTTATCACTTAAGAACTTTAATATCATTTTGCCTTCTGCAAAGTCAGTGGAAATTGTACCAACCATGATATATGAGGATGCTATGGTGAATAGCCTGTTCTCTTTACCACCAACATCCTGCTTTCCTGGTTCCATGTGTTTGCTTATGTTGTCTTTTGTGGCTTTTCCCCGTAACCCTCTCTCGCCCTCCCATAAAATTCCTAATCTTACTTCAAGGCCCATACTTCAAGGCCCATTTCTGCCCTGTGCTTTACCCGATCCCTTAATTATAAGTAATGTGAAACCAGTCAGTCTGCCTACCCGTGCCTCCCCTTCAGCCCCTGTGACTTGCCATTGTAGTTATTTGTGTACAGGACACAACTCTCCCATAAGATTTCTCTAGCTCATTGAGAACAGGGACAAAACCTTTTTTCATCTTCATACCCTGTCCCCAAAGTCTAGCACATAGAATTACGTAAATAGCAAATTAGCTGATGATATTTCAAGTTTGAATTACTGAAAATACCTAAGAATAAACTGGTATCCACCCACTGTTTACCCAAAATGCTTTTACCAAACCACCACTCTACACTCATATATAAATATAGAGCTTCTATTAAGGTCTGTGGCTCCAACACTAGAGAAGGGAGAAAAGGAATTATGTTCTCTCACTTGTCCACTTGATGCTGACACATCTAATGGATAGTTCGTAATCTTCCACCTCCTACCCATACAGTTTTTAATAAGAGTTACAAACAAATGTCCTTGTTGATCCTCATAAAAATAAATAAAAAAAAATTATGGGTGAATCAGTGAGTCTGAGAAAACCTATTGGATTTTTGTTTCCCCAGCATTCTTGCTTGAAATTTCCCTAGGAAGAAGTAAGCCAGAGATTTAAATTTAATAATACTAATAGCAGCTTTGGCAATTTTCATTCTATTTTAATGTAGTTTCTGCATGGGAACATCTTTCATAGTCAACTTCCAGCGAGTGTTTCAACTCCCTTGTTCAGAGATCTAGTCTGATCTTTCACATTTCTAGAGGAGGAAATACAGCTGCCGCGGATTTGGATTCCGTCCGGAGTTGTCTCTTCCACAGCCTACACGTCATGTGACTGTCTCCGCGGAGGCTGACTCTGCTCCCATGCTTTGTCACTTAAGACCACATGGCATGACAGAGAGGTCAGATTTACAACCAGTTCTCCTTTTTCTCTGAAAGGAGGCAGGAAATACAGGTCTGCAGAAACCAGTGCAGCCTGTGTTCTTAGACAAAGCAGATTCTCCTACCATGTGCGAACAGAGTGTTCCAAGGATAGATTCAGCTCCAGAATTCGCAGTGAAAGGGAAACACACACACACACACTTACTTGTATTTGAGGGTACCACTTCTCATTCTTGCTTTTTCACTTTTAAACTCGCTTTTGACTCATTCACCTTACTAGGAGGAAGTGCCTGTGTAATCCTGAGATTGCTGATTTCAAGTCTTTAATACGGTCTCTTTCCTACCTGACATTACACTTTTAAGGTCAGTTAGTACATAACCATTACTTTGAAACCTGCAAAGAACTTCAGCAGTAATTGCTGAATGAGAACAAGTCTAAGGAACCGTTATTTCTGTGGAAACCATGTCTCTTGTCTTTCCTAAGTAGAGGACAGCACAGGGCAGAGGAATGCCACGGCTTCGCTTATCTCTCGGGTGCAGTCCTTGCCAGCCAGGTCTCACCCAGATTCAAGGAGTTCTGTGTGCTTCTGGCTGCGGTGGTTTCATTAATGTTCTTTCCCAAGAATCCTCTTATAGGAGGACAGTAGTGCATACCTCTATTTTAAAATTTCAGAATAAGGATCTAGACAGAGTAGTTGATTTGCCCAAGTTCATATGGTAAGGCTGCAATTGAGGCAGAATTTAAGTCAATAAATTCCCTCTTGGAAGGAGATATATAGGACTCTGTCACAGCCTCTGGAGATGGAAATCATAAAGATATCTGTTCCCGGAAAGGTTTCTTTCCTCCTAGTATTCTGTGTGGTACCAAGCCCCCACATGCCACCCACAGTTAAATTTTCCTCGCAATATTTTCAAGTAATTCTGCATAGCAGTGGTGAGCAATTAAAAGATACACCTTTGTTCACTTCATGATTTATTTTACTACCTTTTCTAAAAGGCAGATTATCCCACTAGAGAAATATCTATCATGAAATTATGAGGTAGCTAAAATTATAATAAAATAAAACATTCACAATGTGTTTGTAAGTTACCTGTTTACAAAAAAAAATGGTTTTATAGCTGCATAATTTGAGTGCAGTTGAGTAGAAAGGTAATGAGAAAGATACTGCAAAAAGTCGCTCGTGTCTGTGAAGAGGACAATGTTATCTGCGTTTTCCACCCAGGTACCGTATATGTAATTGGATGTACCAGAATGCCTCCTATAGGGTAACTTTTCTTATAGGAAGAAGAAAGGAGACCTTAGAGTATAATACATTCTACTAGAACAGGGATAGTAGGAATATTTTAAGAATATTCTGCTGTTCACAAAGGCCATTTTTCTAGCATCTATTACTTTGCCTTCAACAACATAAATTTTGAATTCTAGTTCCCATTACAAATCAGTTTAATTATTATTTATATGTTAGAAATTCATTATCTATTAGGAAGCACAGGAGTATTGCACTTATTTATTGTGTGGGGGGAATGTGGTAGAGGGAGTAAGATTTGGGAAAAGACAGGAGCAACCTGATGGGAATTGTTGAGCAGCAGAGGTAAGTGTTGCTTTAACTGAATATAGTATCTGTAGTCTGTTTTTATATTGTAAGACAGGGAACTCACGCAGTCTACTAAAATGTCCTTTAAAGAGCACATGGTGGACTGTGAGGCTAATTTCTAAATGTGCTAAAATATTTAGAATTTAGATATACTAACCAGTTTAATATGAAATAAATACTGTTTTTTCTAAAACACTGGTAGAAATTAAGTCCGCATTGCCTCCAGCATCTACATGTGCCCACGTGCACACATACATGCACATGCACACACTTTGGAAGATGAAATTAGGCAAACGCCTTGATAACTTCTAAGAGCCAGTTGCTCATACTAGAGATTCTGAGTTGGCTATAGCTAAAAGGCCTTTGTGGAAAGAGATTGTGTTGGGATAACTCATTCCTTTCAACTTTTGAGGAAGACAACAATGATAT